TCTATTAATGCAGATGAACATATAAATAGTTTTTATAGAAAAATATAAACAAAACAATGAAGATAACAGAAATCTGTGACAACCCGAAATTTCCATTCTATACAAACAGTATCACTTCAATAGAAGTTATAACAGTCATAGTCGATTTTCAGACTTTCCGTATAAGTTGGAGTAATTTAGGGTTTACACTTCAGTAAACATCAGGAGAGTGGATGCACTACGGTTTTGTGCAACACTGTTATTCCAACACTCGGATATATTAGAAATCATTTCCGGAATAAAAATATTTTCTGTTAAAATATTTCAGGACTATAAATAGATTTATGAACTAAATTCATTCATTATTCACATTTCCAACTAGAGAAAAGCCCTTTTCTCTGTCACGGATCTTCGGGTTTTCATCCCAAATCGTGAGTCTACTTTCCTAAATGTGTTTTAATGCTTGTTATAAGCTTTATAACATTGTTTATATGACAAATTTGTAAGATCCGAGAGTTTACCGCCCAAGAACGTTCTTGGGGAGTAAACTCCAAAACGAAGCCTAAAGGCTATCTAGTCCCATTTCCTTGTTAGGCAACAAGTTAAGGACATTATGTATGATCATTTGAGGCTAGAACACAATCAAGAACACATAGTTTAAGGAGTTCACGGCCCAAGAAAGCGTTAGGCCGTAAACTCCAAAATTCAAGGGATAATGTGCCCTAAACACTCCTAAGGCTTTAAGACAATTAACCTCTAATGCTTGTAGCTAATTTGGAGACCAAAACACATCAAAATCATCCCTAAAAGGGAGTTTACGGCCAAGAAATACTCTTGGGCCGTAAACTCCAAGTGAAGGCACAAAAGTGTGCCTAAAGTCCCCTTTAGCCTTAAACAAAAACCTAGAAGCTATCCTTTGTGTGCAAGAGGCTTAAAAGAATTAAAACAAACACCCCATAGGAGTTTACGACCGTAAACTCTAGGGGATATGTTCTTTAGGCCGTAAACTCCTCAAAGGAGCATTCTAGGGCCTTAAACTACTTCAAGGATTAATCTACCAATGCTAGGCTTATTCTAGAATTCATTTAGCACATTTAAACACCCAAAACAACCAAGACAAGAGTTCACGGCCGTAAACTCAAGGGTTTACGACCATAAACTCATTGTGTGGAGTTTATTGAGTAGTAAACTCTTATACAAGGCCCTTGGAAGCATTAAAACCTTTTGCCTTGTCCAATAGCAACATAGAAGCAACCCTTAGGACCTATAACACTTATACAAAGTGTTTACATGTTCCTAAACGTCCCAACTTATTTCATTAAGTTAGTAATTGGCTAATTAGTTATATATATGCTCATTATATGATAACTAGGCTTGTGCGTGTGAACAAGTCTCCGTTTGCCACCTAGCACGGTACCCGATACTTCAATCCAATCCACTCACCACAAGTGAGTTCATACCCCTTAAATTAACCTTTGAAATGCTTTTAAATGTTTTAAATACTTTATTGGGGGGGGGGGGATACAAGTTAAACACTTACAGTTATTACATCAATCACATGTGATTACATTAATCACATGTGATTAATAACTAGAAAACCAATGATTTTATCAGTGTTTAAACTGTTTATCAAACTGTTTCACTTTAAAATGTTTTACAAACTCTTTTACTTATCAAATGCTTTTATTAAACTTTGTTTTACTTCTTATAAATTGCATGCCCATATATGTATAGATATATAAGAAATGTTTAAAGGGCTTAGGAAGGCTATCCACCCTATTTCCTTTTCGCGCATTGAGATGTGGTCTAGTGGGATTCTGGGTAACCGTCCGAAGGTCGTTTCAATATTAATTATATATCAAATATACATGTATAGACATAAAAGTACTTCCATATTCATACTTATCAGTACATCATCAGTAAATTACCATCGGGGTAACATAGGATCATACTACTACAATTTCTAGATAAATGAGTCCGTTCATTCATGAGTTAATACTTATTATTACGAGTACTTATACAAATATACTAGAAAGAGAACATATACAACTATACTAGAGGAAGAACATATACAACCATTCTAGAGGAAGAACATATACAACTATACTAGAACAGTTCATTTCATTACATATACAAGAATACGTTAACAATTGTGATCCACTGTATCGGAGCATGCCTTAATTGTCATGGCCCGAGTTGTAGCCAGAATTCTCTTGGAGGGATAGCGTGAGTTTGCGTATAGATCTATACTGGATTGACTATTCTACACCTTGCTGCTAGCTACAACCGGACCTGCAGGTCTGCGGGTGCCAAATGTCATTCCGTTATTACGACCATTCGTATGTCGTTGTTACCAGTCGATAGTATGGTGCAATTTATCACATGATACCTTAATATAAATCCGGTTTAAGGTAGTTAGTACAGCAGTAGTTCCTATAATACAACACTACAGTACTACATTAATTTACTCTTTACATCATTAGTGATCTTTTCACTTAAACAATTATGTACAAACTATGTTTTGGAAATGATAGTTACACTTGAGTAAATCACACACTTTTACAACAAACGAGCATACAAAACAGTTAAGCCTTGGTAGAAGGCTACTTTAATAGAAAATATAGGTTTTTCTAAGAGATTCAAACTTTTACAAACACTTACAAACATTTACGTACATTTTACAAACTTACACTTGATACATGTTCAAACGTTTTTGGATGACAAATACCGACACTAAAATACTTATGAACTCACCAGCTTATTGCTGATAAACTCTTTCAAAATAACTTGTATTCTCAGGTCATCAGTAGACAGGTACCGAGGCCAGCTTTTGAGAAGATGGAGCGCATTCAAGACTCATCTTATAATTTTGATATACATTATTTTTGGTGTCTATACTGTACAGAACACGCTTGTATTAAAATTATATATTTAATGCAATGGATGATGTTGTTTGCTTATTTACATTTACTGTGTTGTGATACTTTACATGACGTCCTCCGCCCCAGAACGTTTCCGCCGTTCTTGGTTTTGGGGTGTGACAAAATCAAAAAAAAATTCTGGCATTCCTTAGAGACACACACACAAATCGATCATAAAACTACAAAACTAATCGGCGGGGAACAAACACCACCACCGCATCCCTCAATTGGAAACGTACAATACAATTGAGCTAAAAATGACGAAAAATAGACTCCATTCATAAGTAATTGAATATTTCTATGTGTTTTCGAATGTGTGTGTTCATACATGCTTGTGTAAGTGTGTGATTGTGAACAAGCATCAGAATGGAGTCGAGAACCAGAAAAGTATGTAAAGGAGGATGTCTTCCCAGAGCAATCAATGAGGAAGAAGGGAAGAGAGATTGAGGAAAGGATAACATTACCTTCGACGTTTAGTAATGATGAACAAGACATCAAATGCAATATATTAACATCAAATGCAAGATATTAACTCCAAGTGGGGTTTTGAGCCATAATCACACCTTAATTAAAGTTTTTAGGGCAGGATTCAATCTCTGGTAAAATCACATGACAAAGAGAGGGTAATTCGAATCCTAGAATGTAGAATGCATTTAACGAGAATGATGGAGGGCACATTGCTTCTATTCGTTCACAAGAGTGGCGCATACGAGAGGCAATAAGAGGAGGTGAATCGCGACTTTGAATGTTCCCTGTGTGATGCTTCGTTAAGTAGCTGCATTGACTACTAGGGTTCTAATGAAAAAAGAGAAGAACATGACAAAGAGGAAACCGAAGAGTTTTCTGTTGATATTTCCGGTGAGAGAAGATAGGAACGATTGGCTAGGTTCGATTTCTTGTAAGGTTTCAGGTGTTTGATTGATAAACCAACAGAGTAAGCAACTAGGGTTCGGTTTGGGCGAGATAAGAGTAAAAAACCAGAATTATAATAATAATAAAAAGAGCAATTGTTTTCTTTAGTTAAAAAAAAAAAACTCCAAGCTTGAGAGGATAGAATGGTAAATATCATATAAAAAAAATTAATACTTGTGACCACTATTTTCTGGTCAATAGTGTGACCATTATTTTGAGGTCATTAGTTTTTTTTTTTCCATGCGGTGAATGTGTTGGTTTGAAAAATGAATATGAATTAATGACCACTATTTTGTTCATTAAGTTTTCAACATAGTGACAACTATTTTTGGTCATTAAATGTCAAATCAGTGACCACTAATTTTAATCATTAATATTTATTATTTAATTAAATAATAATAATAACTTTTAGTGACCATTTAGTGGCAACCATCTCCGATTGGGTCACTAAATGTGTGCAACTACCAAAATTCAGTGACCACTTAATATATGGTGACTAAATAATGCTTTTAGTGACCAGATTTATAGTCGTCATTGAAAAATTGGTTACTAAAAAGGATTACTCTTGTAGTGGTTATATTTATGGGTAGATAAATATCATACATGGTCGATACCATAGACCAAACTCTCGATGGTTCAAATAAATATGAAAGTTTAGAAAGTTAAAAGTGTGAAACTGACATCTTACAAAGTTCAAAGCCGAAAGGATTAAAGTAATATTTTATAAAGTTTAGTGATAGTAACTTTATATACTACGAGATTAAACACAAAACTTTAAAAAATAGCGGGGATGAAAAGGAATTTTTTTAAAAGTCTAAAGTTGAAAGAATAAAAATGATATTTGTATAAAGTTAAGGGCTGGAAAATAAAAGTTGGAAACGCTGTTAATTAGAGCAAAAGCCTTTTAATGTCATGTAAATAAAATTCAGTCCAAATATAGATATGAATTTAGTAAGTTATATAATCTATAGTTAATTTTGACTTAGTAGGGTTATGTTTTTTGAATCTGGTACTTTTAAATTGATTATACGACACCGTAATAGTAAAATGATTAGAAATAGTTCAATCGACCAAAAACTAAACCTCAAAAGTCTCAAAAGTCAATTTGCACACCCAAACGCCTCAGAAGTCAATTGGCATCATGCATGTATAATTAACGGGTTACCATAACTTCAAAGTAGTGTCTTGGTATAGAAATGAATTTCCAATCTCTTGTTACAATATTAGTTCTTCTTGGAGTATCGGTTGATGCCCAGAATGATCAATCAGGTACGAAAGCATTAATTATTTCTCTAAATACTAATTAATTAATTATATAACCTCTTGATCAACTTCTTTTCCCCTCCCATCGCAGACTTCATCAGCATAGACTGTGGGATTCCCAAAGGGTCAACATACACCGATCAAGTAACAGGCATAAACTACATATCCGATGCTGAATTCAGAGACACTGGCGAAATCCATAGCATAATGCCCGCATATAACTCGTTAGACATTTATAAACATGCTACCACCCTCACAAGTTTTCCACAAAACGCAAGAAACTGCTACACCCTAAAACCAAACCAAGGAAAGGGTAACAGGTATCTCATAAGGACAAGCTTCATGTATGGGAATTATGACTTGAAGGGCCAACTTCCAGAATTCGATGTCTATCTTGGACCTGATTACTGGGATACCATGAAATTCAATTCGTCATCTCAACCAGAAACAATGGAGATCATACATGTCTCATCAACAGATTACATTCATCTTTGTCTAGTAAATATAGGTCGTGGGACTCCTTTCATATCAGCGATAGAACTACGTCTTGTAGCTGGCGACATGTATAAAGAAACCGATTTTGGATCATTGTACCTTTCTGCACGGGCAAATTTTGGAACCACACATGGAATAGTCAGGTCAAATTTATACAATGTGTTTTTTTTTTCTAATAAAAACTAAATTTTAGACTAAATTAAACGAAAAGTTGCTATCTTTTTTGTAATTTGTACGTTTCGTTCCTAACTTATTTTTTTTAAACTTGGAAGTTCCCTGTTGTTTGTTTTTGGCTGTGTTTGGCGCGCCACAGCTAGCTGATAAGCTAGCTTATTTTTCGAGCTTTTTTATGTTGTTGTGTTTGGTAAACCAAAAAGTAGCTGATAAGCTAGCTTTTTGAAAAGCTACTTAGACTACCTTTTAAGGAGCTTTTTTAAAATTTTCCAAATACACTCCTTAATTAATTATAGAAACACATATTTTTACATATCCTTTTATGTAATTTTATATATTTCAGCTAGTTTTACCAAACGTTATTTTTTATCAGCTAGCTTTTTAGTTATCAGATAGCTTTTTATTTAACAGCCACCTTTTTAGCTATCAGCTAACTTTTCAGTTAACAACTATCTTTTCAGCTAATCCGCCAAACATAGCCTTTGTATCGCGTTTGTTTCCTGTCTTATCTAAAAAGACTTTTTTACCCTTGATTTTTCTTTTTAATTTATTTAAACAAACACGCTCTTAACCCCACCTCATCTTACTTTATCTTACCTAAAAATACTATTTTAATTATTTAAATAATGACATACTACTCTTTTTAAGTAAGACATGAACCAATCGCCTAATAAAAACAAATAATAGAAACTTTCGGAATTAAAAAAATAAATTAGGTACCAAAATGCAAATTTTCTCAACCCATAGAGACTATTCCTGTAATTTACTCTAATTTTTACGAATATTCAAGTTGTAACTTTGTTTTTCTTGTTTCTCGGCTTAGGTATAACAATGACAAGTATGATCGAGTATGGACTCCAATTAATTGGCCTGATAGTAAAACTTTATACACTCGGGAACAAGTGTCTGTAGGGTTATCGAACGTCTTTGACCCACCATCAGAGGTTATGAGTTCTGCTGCGACGCCAACAAACCCTAATGATCCATTTAAAATAGAGTGGAATCCTTTTAACACCAACGATAAATTTTTCATTTACATGCACTTTACTGAAGTTGAATTACTGAAAAGAAACCAGACCAGAGAATTCAACATTTATCTGAATGGGAACCTCTCGTATGGACCTTTCTCTCCGATATATCTGAACGCAGCCAGTATTTATAGCACAGTGCATGAAACGATAGCACCAAGATATACCCTCATAATAAATAAAACAGAAAATTCAACCCTTCCACCCATTATCAACGCTCTTGAGCTCTATGTATTAAAGCAGCTCACACAAAGGCAAACAGATCACCATGATGGTATGTCTACAATCTTTCCTAGCTATTATGATCAATATATATTAATTGACGCAACTCATGTTCGTTTCTTTTTTTGATTACAATCGATATTACTATTAGTTGCTGCAATAGGGAGCATTAAATCTTATTACAGAGTAACTAGAAATTGGCAAGGAGATCCATGTGCACCACAGGAATTTGTTTGGGATGGTGTTAGATGCAGCTACAACGATACGGAGATGTCTAGGATCACGTTCTTGTATGCATACAATTTCATGACCCTTGAATGTTATGGTTTTACTTTCCTTTCTTGAAATTATTTATATACCGTTTAATAATCTGAATCAGGAACTTGTCTACAAGTGGAATTAAAGGAAAAATAGATCATGGATTCTCTTATCTAGCAATGATAGAAACCTTGTAAGTCAAACACTTGTATTAAACTAAAATATTGACAAAAGTTAGTTCCTAAAACAGTATGTGTGTCATTTTCTTGATTCCTGTTTCAGGGATTTGTCGAACAATAACTTGACAGGAACTGTGCCTGATTTTCTCTCTGGAATGAAATTCTTGAAAGTCCTGTAAGTTATCTACCCCTCGAATTAGCATGCATTGGAAATCTTGTTGTTTGGAATAATAAATTAATGTAAGTTAACGTTTTATTATAGGAATCTAAGAGGAAACAATTTCATTGGGCCGATTCCAGAGGAGCTTCTAGCAAAATCAAACAACGGATCATTGTCAATAAGGTTTGTTACTAATTTCTTGACACGTATTTGTGATCGGAAATTTTATACTATTAATCATTGTTTCATAATTTAACATTAATTCTACCTTAAAATCAGATTCGATGGTCAGAGTACAGATGAAGACGCAAGTTCTTGTGTTATGAATCGTTGCAAAAACAAGAAGAATAAAAAATTCATTGTTCCAGTAATAGCAACGGTTGCTTCCCTCTTTGTGATCCTGGGTGCAATCACCACCATATGGATAATTAATAAACAAAAAGGTCATGGTATGAATTATGATCGAGAAAAAACTTCAATTTCATTTAATAATCTATATTGTTAATTAAAAAACATGCACACGTGCACAAAATACGGACAGGTTCAATTCGTCAAAGTAATTTGCATACGAACAAAAGCAAAACAAGCAGCGATGGGTTGGAGATAAAAAGACAAAAGTTCACGTACTCAGAGGTACAGAGCATTACTGACAACTTCAAAGTCGTTATTGGGAAAGGAGGATTTGGAAAAGTTTATCATGGACATATAGGTGATGCTCAAGTTGCTGTGAAGATGCTTTCTGCATCATCTCAACAAGGGGACAAAGAGTTTCAAGCCGAGGTAATGTTCCCTTCGTGAAGTGGGGACCACACACACATATATATATATATGGTTCTATCAAATTAAAGAACACAAACATGGAAAACATTGCTTCTATACATTTTGTTAATCATAGCAATAACAAACTTTACAACACATTTCACACGTGGCATTTTATAGCAACCATCAAAATGGTTGGTGATTAACCACCTATAACTGCCACTAATAACTACCATTCATGAGTTACCAAATTAGCCTTATAATTCCTATGCCTTGCTTAACTTGCAACACCCCCCATAAGCTAGACTTTAACAATAAATTAAAATAAAAAGTAGGAACCTTCTGAGTTAAAAATAAAAAAAATATGTTAGGAACCAAACGTGCAAATTATCTTAAACCATTGGGAACATTCGTGTAATTTACTCGATTATATTATATAATCATGCCAATGTAAAGTTCTCAAAGAGGTTGCAAACTCCTTCTCAAAGATTGATGTGAAATAGGTGGTTGTTCATGTATCGCCTAAGATTATAATTGTCCAGGAATTTGCACTATTAGAGCAACAGTTTATTGCCTCTTCCCGTAAACACTTGTTATAAGTTCGTTTTATTCTAACATTTAATTGTTCTTCACAATCTCCCCTATTTCTTTATCAATATTACATTATTCATCAGGTTTCATGATAGTATCATTCAAATCATCAAAATCGTTGTCCATAATATTCGGACTTAAGACCCAACAATCACCGATATCAACATCAAATTTCAACTTTTCCAAGATCTTTTCAGAAAATTCATCAATCCAAGAATCACTCTGGAGAGTATCATCCATAGTGTTCCAACCAACAACTTGTTTTTAGAACTTGTTTTTAGTCATAACAAGCAACTCCTTGAACTTTCATGCGTCTTCTCCTTGATTTTTCTAATCTTGAATAACTTTGCTACAGGCTCCCTTGAATCATACTCTTTGTTAATCATATCAACAACAACACATACACAAACACACATCATATGCTTAAAATGAAAAATCAACACCAACAAAATTCGTGCAGTGAATATTACATGGAAATTTAAAAAATTCTCTATATGTACAGGCCAATCTTCTCATGAGTGTTCATCATAAAAACTTAACTACGCTGGTTGGGTATTGCAATGAAGGCAACCACAAGGGAATTATCTACGATTACATAGCTAATGGGAACTTAGAAAATCATATATTCGGTATTTGTTATTAATGACATTTCATCTTTAATTTATATGTACACATATTAATATTTGAAATATGGCTTGAGCAGATACAAGTTTAAGTGTCTTAACTTGGGAAAAAAGACTACGAATAGCATGTGATGTTGCATGTGGTCAGTAAGCAAATCCTTAGAAGCTACTTAATTGCATTTAATTTTGGCATCTATAATCACAATCATTATTAACCACATGGGTTCTATTAGGTCTAGAGTATCTTCATCATGGTTGCACACCACCTATAGTCCATAGAGATGTTAAGTGTACAAACATCTTATTGAACGAAAAGTTTCAAGCTAAACTAGCAGACTTCGGGTTATCCAGAGCTTTTCCAACAGAAGCTGCTACACATATTTCAACATTAGTTGCTGGCACTCCTGGGTACCTTGACCCTGAGTAAGTAATTTTTCCGAATCTTATCTATAATAAATCATATTTATGTTGAAATTCAAAAAAAAAAAAATTAAAAAAGGGACGCCTTGAACCCATCATAACTCACATCTTCAAGGTACTTATTGCATTTGGCGAGAGAACAAGCCCCGATTTTTTTTTTTTAAATATAACTTAATTGTGTGACTGGTGTAGTATTGGTTTCCTCAAGTTTTATGTTTAATTTCCTTGGATCTTTTGCTTAAATGCAATATCAATGAATCTGGCTTTCAGGTATCAGTCGTCATACAGATTGACTGAGAAAAGTGACGTTTATAGTTTTGGGGTTGTGCTTCTGGTGATAATTACAGGACGACGAGCTATAGCCAGATATGATAATGACAACAAACACATAAGTCGATGGGTTAATTTAGAGCTCTTAGATGGGAATGTAAAAAGCCTGGTTGATCCTAGGTTACAAGGAGAATTTGATATCCACTCAGCAAGGAAGGCAGTAGAATTGGCAATGACTTGTGTTGATGACATGCCCAACAGACGACCAACCATGAAGGAAGTGGTCATGGGTTTAAGTGATTGTTTGGTAACTCTTCAGGACGCCAAAACAGAAAATTTGTCAGGAATCGTATCTCTTACTTTGGAGAATGGAACTTAGCTTGATCCAAATCTTAGATGTTGAATTAAACACACATTTGTTATGTGACAATAATTCTTTAAAGATCATTTGTAACTGATATATATTAGCTCATGATAATAAAAGTATCAAAATATATAGGGTTTATCAGACTTGTGAAAGGAACAAAAGTAATCAAATATCAATCACAGGTTATTACTTTCTGA